ACGTGGGTGGACTAATCTCCATCTGTTCCATCTCACTCCCTTCTAGCACGTGGGTGGACTAATCTCCATCTGTTCCATCTCACTCCCTTCTACCACGTGTGTGGACTAATCTCCATCTGTTCCATCTCACTCCCTTCTACACCGTGTGTGGACTAATCTCCATCTCTTCCATCTCACTCCCTTCTACCACGTGGGTGGACTAATCTCCATCTGTTCCATCTCACTCCCTTCTACCACGTGTGTGGACTAATCTCCATCTGTTCCATCTCACCCCCTTCTACACCGTGTGTGGACTAATCTCCATCTGTTCCATCTCACTCCCTTCTACCACGTGTGTGGACTAATCTCCATCTGTTCCATCTCACTCCCTTCTACTACGTGTGTGGACTAATCTCCATCTGTTCCATCTCACTCCCTTCTACCACGTGTGTGGACTAATCTCCATCTGTTCCATCTCACTCCCTTCTACCACGTCTGTGGACTAATCTCCATCTGTTCCATCTCACTCCCTTCTACACCGTGTGTGGACTAATCTCCATCTGTTCCATCTCACTCCCTTCTACAACCGTGTGTGGACTAATCTCCATCTGTTCCATCTCACTCCCTTCTACCACGTGTGTGGACTAATCTCCATCTGTTCCATCTCACTCCCTTGTACCACGTGTGTGGACTAATCTCCATCTGTTCCATCTCACTCCCTTCTACCACGTGTGTGGACTAATCTCCATCTGTTCCATCTCACTCTCTTCTACCACGTGTGTGGACTAAACTCCATCTGTTCCATCTCACTCCCTTCTACCACGTGTGTGGACTAATCTCCATCTCTTCCATCTCACTCCCTTCTACTACGTGTGTGGACTAATCCCCATCTGTTCCATCTCACGTCATTGTACGTCATCGGACGCCATTGTACGTCATCGGACGTCATCGTACGTCATCGGACGTCATCGGAACGGGAGAGGGTTAAATGAATACACCCAGAGGTCCAGGAGAGCTCGGGGAAATATTTGGGTAGGGGCGGCTCCTCACCGACCACCATCACCGCCACCCCCCCCACCCCCCTCTCGTCCTGTGGGGGGCTCTTCTGCGATGAGCGATCGAGACGGAATTCCCGCCGCAGGTACAGCGATGCGTCATCGTCATCGTCGTCGTGATAGTAATTATTGTTGTGGTGATGGTTTCAGCTCGACATGAGCGGCCGTTATCCACTGACTTGGCGCTCCCCCCTCCTCGCGGTGTTCTGCGAGTAATTGGCGCTAATCGTGGTGCTGCCGCATTGAAATTCTCGCGGTTTATTTAATCGTCAACCCAGAGTGCATTCATTAATTCGCCATTCATTTCGTCAGTTTTTGCTTTGACACCGCTTCCCGTCAGCCCCATCGCCAGCATTGATTTAAACGTGAACAAACTCGAGCGGAGCGGCTTCCACGTTCAGTGTCTCATCAGCGGCAGAGTGTGGCTTGATTGGACTGATGCCATTGGTTTCATACAGCCAGGCTCAGCACCCGTTTCCACGTTTAGTGTCTCATCAACATCAGCGGCAGAGTCTGGCTTGATTGGACTGATGCCATTGGTTTCATACAGCCAGACTCAGCACCAGCTTCCACGTTTAGTGTCTCATCAGCAGCAGCGGCAGAGTGTGGCTTGCTTGGACTGATGCCATTGGTTTCATACAGCCAGGCTCAGCACCCGTTTCCACGTTTAGTGTCTCATCAGCGGCAGAGACTGGCTTGCTTTTACTGATGCCATTGGTTTCATACAGCCAGGCTCAGCACCGGCTTCCACGTTTAGTGTCTCATCAGCGGCAGAGTCTGGCTTGATTGGACTGATGCCATTGGTTTCATACAGCCAGACTCGGCACCAGCTTCCACGTTTAGTGTCTCATCAGCGGCAGATTCTGGCTTGCTTGGACCAAGGCCATTAATCGAACCCCGGACCGGTTCCGCCTTGAGGATCACAGAGTTCACAAGCATTGGCTCAACCAAAGCTTGACCCTGCTGCCGATGAGAGGCTGAATAGATAGAGGACTGCAGAGCTTGGGGTAATTGTTTATTTTTGCTCACAAGTGCTGCGGATTGTCCAGCGTTGTGCGGTTTGCAGTTTGCATGCCACCCCTGCTGTGTAACATACACACACACGCACGCTAATGTTTGTGACCTTAAAGGATGTGTAAATGTTGAACTTCTTTCGCACCGTACGTAGCCAACCGTTGCTATTCGGAGTGTGCGGAGGGAAGGACAGCAAACTAAACACAACAACAACAACAACCAGGAGCAGTTCTACAGAAATTCGTTTTCAAATCTTAAACAATTGACAAGGTGGGGGGCCCAGGCCTCATAATGGGGGGGCTCACGACGGACAACAAATGTCTTGACAGCCTTCCCCACCCCCCACCCCCCAAATCGCTCCTCAATTTATCGGCCCTTGAGTGATGATCGGCTGACTGAATTCGAGCCACCTCCTGGTGCCCGACTCAACAAGACGTTTCTGGCCGGCCCTGCGTGAGCACAGTTCAGGCGCCCGTCACAGCAATGTGGAATGTCCGCGGATTGCCGCAGGAGATGATCGTGGGTGAGGTGGGGGGGGGTGAGGGTGGGGGGGTGAGGTGGGGGGGGTGAGGTGGGGGATGTTCACCCGTTGCCGGGGGGAGGGAGGGGGGGTGAGGTGGGGGGGGGTGAGGTGGTGGGGGGGGTGAGGTGGTGGGGGGGGGTGAGATGGGGGGGGTGAGGTGGGGGGGGTGAGGTGGTGGGGGGGGTGAGGTGGGGGGGGGTGAGGTGGTGGGGGGTGTTCACCCGTTGCCGGGGGGAGGGGGGGGAGGGGCACCACTGTCGCTTAATTGGGCCCCTAATTAGCGAGGGAGGGAGGGAGGAGATTGGGGGAGGGGTGGAGGCGGGGGGAGGGGTGACACGTGGTGCGTGCTAACGGCACTTGACCCAACAGTCTGTGAAGACTACAGGGGGAATCTTTGTCTTTGTGGGTCAGTGGGGAGCGGTGGTGCAGCGCTTAGCGCGCTGAGCCGCAAACCCGGCCATGTATGAGTCTGTGGGTTTCTATGTGAGTCTGTGGGTCTCTATGTCTCTGGGTCTCTATGTAAATCTATGGGTCTTTATGTAAGTATATGGGTCTCTATGTGAGTCTGTGGGTCTCTATGTATGTGGGTCTCTACGTGATTCTGTGGGTCTCTATGTGAGCCTGTGGGTGTCTATGTGAGTCTATGGGTCTCTATGTGAGTCTATGGGTCTCTATGTATGTGGGTCTCTATGTATGTGGGTCTCTATGTGAGTCTATGTGTCTCTATGTGAGTCTATGGGTCTCTATGTATGTGGGTCTCCATGCGAGTCTGTGTGTCTCTATGTGAGTCTATGGGTCTCTATGTGAGTCTATGGGTCTCTATGTGAGTCTATGGGTCTCTATATATGTGGGTCTCTATGTAAATCTATGGGTCTTTATGTAAGTATATGGGTCTCTATGTGAGTCTGTGGGTCTCTATGTATGTGGGTCTCTACGTGATTCTGTGGGTCTCTATGTGAGCCTGTGGGTGTCTATGTGAGTCTATGGGTCTCTATGTGAGTCTGTGGGTCTCTATGTATGTGGGTATCTATGTATGTGGGTCTCTACGTGATTTTGTGGGTCTCTATGTTAGCCTGTAGGTGTCTATGTGAGTCCTTGAGTCTCTATGTGAGTCTATGGGTCTCTATGTGAGTCTATGGGTCTCTATGTATGTGGGTCTCTATGTATGTGGGTATCTATGTGAGTATTTGATCCCCTGCTGATTTTGTACATTTGCCCAATGATAAAAGAAATGATCAGTCTATAATTTTAATGGTAGGTTTATTTGAACAGTGAGAGACAGAATAACAACAACAAAATCCAGAAAAACGCATGTCAAAAATGTTATAAATTGATTTGCATTTTAATGAGGGAAATAAGTATTTGACCCCTCTGCACAACACGACTTAGTACTTGGTGGCAAAACCCTTGTTGGCAATCAGTGTGCTGTGTGCGTGTTGTGTGTGGTGTTGTGTGTGTGGTGTTGTGTGTGTTTGTGTGTGTGGTGTGTGTGTGGTCTTGTGTTGTGTGTGTGGTGTGTGTTGTGTGTGGTGTTGTGTGTTGTTGTGTTTGTGGTGTGTGTGTTATCTTGTGTGTGTATGTGTGTTGTTGTGTATGCGTGTTGTGTGTGTGTTGTGTGTGATGTGTTGTGTGTGTATGTGTTGTGTGTGTGTATGTGTTGTGTGTGTGTGTATGTGGTGTGTTGTGTGTGTGTGTGGTGTGTTGTGTGTGTGATGTGTTGTGTGTGTGTATGTGTGTATGTGTTGTGTGTTGTGTATGTATGTGTTGTGTGTGTTGTGTGGTGTGTGTGGTGTGTGTGTTGTGTGGTGTGTGTGGTGTGTGTGGTGTGTGTGATGTGTTGTGTGTGTGTGTGTGTGTGTTGTGTGTGGTGTGTGTGTGTTGTGTGTGGTGTGTGTGTGCGTTGTGTGTGTGTGATGTGTTGTGTGTGTGATGTGTTGTGTTGTGTGTGTGTGCGTTGTGTGTGTGTGGTGTGTGTGTGATGTGTTGTGTGTGTGTGGTGTGTGTGTGTGATGTGTTGTGTGTGTTGTGTGTGTGTATGTGTTGTGTGTATTGTGTGTGGTGTGTGTGTGTTGTGTGTGGTGTGTGTGTGTTGTGTGTGGTGTGTGTGTGTTGTGTGTGGTGTGTGTGTGTGATGTGTTGTGTTGTGTGTGTGTGCGTTGTGTGTGTGTATGTGTTGTGTGTGTGGTGTGTGTGTGGTGTGTGTGTGATGTGTTGTGTGTGTGTGGTGTGTGTGTGTGATGTGTTGTGTGTGTGTTGTGTGTGTGTGTGTATGGTGTTGTGTGTGTGTGTTGTGATGATATAACGCGAACTCCTCAAGTGAGATGGACGCGCACAACCCACCAATCAGCACCTTGACTCTCCGCCGCCTGCCCCCCCTATCCTCGCTTCTCTTACCCCCCCCCCCCCCACTTACCCCCCCCCCCCCGCAGTGGGAGGAGATCAGCGAGATCGACGAACACAACCGGCCTCTGCGAACCTTCCAGGTGTGCAACGTGATGGCCCCCCCGGACAGAGCAACTGGCTCCGCTCCCCCGCGGTGCCGCGGGGCCCGGCACGCCGCCTGCTGCTGGAGCTGCGCTTCACGCTGCGGGACTGCGGGAGCATCCCCGGCGTGCCCGGCACCTGCAAGGAGACCTTCAACCTCTACTTCGGAGAGGCGGGGGGCGCCGCCGCCGGCGGGGGGGGAGAGCCGCCGGCGCCGGCGCCGGCGCCGCTCAGCGAGGACGGCCTCGTCAAGATCGACACCATCGCCGCCGATGAGAGCTTCACGCAGGTACGCGGAGTCGCTGTGACACGTGGTGGGGGGAGGGAGTCTGTGAGTCGCTGTGACACGTGGTGGGGGGAGGGAGTCTGTGAGTCTCTTTGTCACGTGGTGGGGGAGTCGGTGAGTCACTGTGACACGTGGAGGGAGTCTGTGAGTCTCTTTGTCACGTGGGAGGGAGTCTGTGAGTCTCTGTGACACGTGGTGGGGGGAGTCTGTGAGTCTCTGTGACACGTGGTGGGGGGAGGGAGTCTGTGAGTCTCTTTGTCACGTGGTGAGGGGAGTCTGTGAGTCACTGTGACACGTGGTGGGGGGAGTCTGTGAGTCACTGTGACACGTGGAGGGAGTCTGTGAGTCTCTTTGTCACGTGGGAGGGAGTCTGTGAGTCTCTGTGACACGTGGTGGGGGGAGTCTGTGAGTCTCTTTGACACGTGGTGGGGGAGGAGTCTGTGAGTCTCTTTGTCACGTGGTGAGGAGTCTGTGAGTCGCTGTGACACGTGGTGGGGAGGGAGTCTGTGAGTCGCTTTGTCACGTGGTGGGGGAGGAGTCTGTGAGTCTCTTTGTCACGTGGTGAGGAGTCTGTGAGTCGCTTTGTCACGTGGGAGGGAGTCTGTGAGTCTCTTTGTCACGTGGGAGGGAGTCTGTGAGTCACTTTGTCACGTGGTGGGGGAGTCTGTGAGTCACTTTGACACGTGGAGGGAGTCTGTGAGTCGCTGTGACACGTGGTGAGGGAGGGAGTCTGTGAGTCTCTTTGTCACGTGGTGGGGAGTCTGTGAGTCTCTGTGACACGTGGTGGGGAGTCTGTGAGTCGCTTTGTCACGTGGTGGGTGGAGTCTGAGTCACTTTGTCACGTGGGGGGGAGTGTCTGTGAGTCGCTGTGACACGTGGGGGGAGGGAGTCTGTGAGTCACTGTGACACATAGTGGGAGTCTGTGAGTCACTGTGACACGTGGGGGAGTCTGTGAGTCTCTTTGACACGTGGGAGGAGTCTGTGAGTCACTGTGACACATAGTGGGAGTCTGTGAGTCTCTGTGACACGTGAGGGGGAGTCTGTGAGTCTCTTTGTCACGTGGAGGGAGTCTGTGAGTCGCTTTGTCACGTGGGTGGGAGCCTGTGAGTCTCTTTGTCACGTGGAGGGAGGGAGTCTGTGAGTCACTTTGTCACGGGGGGGGGGGAGGGAGTCTGTGAGTCACTGTGACACGTGGGGAGGGAGTCTGTGAGTCACTTTGTCACGTGGTGGGGGGAGTCTGTGAGTCTCTTTGACACGTGGGGGAGGCAGTCTGTGAGTCGCTGTGACACGTGGGGGGAGGGAGTCTGTGAGTCACTTTGTCACGGGGGGGGGAGGGAGTCTGTGAGTCGCTTTGTCACGTGGGAGGGAGTCTGTGAGTCGCTTTGTCACGTGGTGGGAGTCTGTGAGTCACTGTGACACGTGGGGGAGGGAGTCTGTGAGTCGCTGTGACACGTGGAGGAGGGAGTCTGAGTCACTTTGTCACGTGGTGGGGGGAGTCCGTGAGTCGCTTTGTCACGTGGTGGGAGTCTGTGAGTCACTGACACGTGGGGGAGGGAGTCTGTGAGTCTCTTTGACACGTGGGGGAGGGAGTCTGTGAGTCGCTGTGACACGTGGTGGGGGAGGCTGTGAGTCTGTGACACGTAGGGGAGTCTGTGAGTCACTGTGACACGTGGGGGAGGGAGTCTGTGAGTCACTGTGACACGTGGGGGAGGGAGTCTGTGAGTCGCTTTGTCACGTGGTGGGGCGAGTCTGTGAGTCACTGTGACACGTGGGGGGAGGGAGTCTGTGAGTCGCTGTGACACGTGGGTGGGAGTCTGTGAGTCTCTTTGTCACGTGGGGGAGGGAGTCTGTGAGTCACTTTGACACGTGGGAGTCTGTGAGTCACTGTGACACGTGGGAGGGAGTCTGTGAGTCACTTTGACACATAGTGGGAGTCTGTGAGTCACTGTGACACGTGGGGGGAGTCTGTGAGTCGCTTTGTCACGTGGTGGGGGGAGTCTGTGAGTCACTGTGACACGTGGGGGAGGGAGTCTGTGAGTCGCTTTGACACGTGGGGGAGGGAGTCTGTGAGTCGCTGTGACACGTGGGGGAGGGAGTCTGTGAGTCACTTTGACACGTGGTGGGGGGAGTCTGTGAGTCTCTTTGTCACGTGGGGGAGGGAGTCTGTGAGTCACTTTGACACATAGTGGGAGTCTGTGAGTCGCTGTGACACGTGGTGGGGGGAGTCTGTGAGTCTCTTTGTCACGTGGGGGAGGGAGTCTGTGAGTCGCTGTGACACGTGGTGGGGGAGTCTGTGAGTCGCTTTGTCATGTGGGGGGAATCTGTGAGTCTCTTTGTCACGTGGGTGGGAGTCTGTGAGTCGCTGTGACACGTGGTGGGGGGAGTCTGTGAGTCCCTGTGACACGTGGGGATTGCGTAACTCTATAAATGTTGTTGTGTCCTTAAACCCGCCACCACCCGACACGGCCTACTAGTCAGGGTTGTCACGGAACAGGACGTGGCCAATTTTTGATGTAATGCTTTCGTGACTTTAGGGATTCATAAAATTCTCACGACGTTTCGACCTCAGAATTTTATTGTTTTATATTTTTATTATTTTATTGTTTCCCTTCTACGTGACTTTACCGAAAGAACGTGGCCAATTCGTTACTAGTACAGCACTAGTGTATAGTGTATCGTGTATAGTAGTGTAGTGTATAGTGTAGTGTATAGTGTTGTGTATAGTGTGTAGTGTATAGTGTAGTGTATAGTGTAGTGTAAAGTGTTGTGTGTAAAGTGTTGTGTGTAGTGTATAGTGTAGTGTATAGTATAGTATAGTGTATAGGGTAGTGTGTAGTGTATAGTGTAGTGTGTATCTTGTAGTGTGTATAGTGTAGTGTGTATAGTATAGTGTATAGTATAGTGTAGTGTATAGTGTAGTGTATAGTGTAGTGTATAGTGTAGTGTATAGTGTAGTGTATAGTGTAGTGTATAGTGTAGTGTGTAGTGTATAGTGTAGTGTATAGTGTAGTGTATAGTGTAGTGTAAAGTGTTGTGTGTAAAGTGTTGTGTGTAGTGTATAGTGTAGTGTATAGTATAGTGTATAGTAGTGTATAGGGTAGTGTGTAGTGTATAGTGTAGTGTGTATCTTGTAGTGTGTGTATAGTGTAGTGTGTAGTGTATAGTGTAGTGTATAGTGTAGTGTATAGTGTAGTGTATAGTGTAGTGTATAGTGTAGTGTATAGTGTAGTGTATAGTGTGTAGTGTAGTGTGTAGTGTAGTGTGTAGTGTAGTGTGTAGTGTGTAGTGTAGTGTGTAGTGTAGTGTGTAGTGTAGTGTGTAGTGTAGTGTGTAGTGTATAGTGTAGTGTATAGTGTAGTGTGTGTAGTGTAGTGTGTAGTGTAGTGTGTAGTGTAGTGTGTAGTGTAGTGTGTAGTGTAGTGTGTAGTGTAGTGTGTAGTGTAGTGTGTAGTGTATAGTGTAGTGTATAGTGTAGTGTATAGTGTAGTGTATAGTGTAGTGTATAGTGTAGTGTATAGTGTAGTGTATAGTGTAGTGTATAGTGTAGTGTATAGTGTAGTGTGTAGTGTAGTGTGTAGTGTAGTGTGTAGTGTAGTGTGTAGTGTAGTGTGTAGTGTAGTGTATAGTGTAGTGTATAGTGTAGTGTATAGTGTAGTGTATAGTGTAGTGTATAGTGTAGTGTATAGTGTAGTGTATAGTGTAGTGTATAGTGTAGTGTATAGTGTAGTGTATAGTGTAGTGTATAGTGTAGTGTATAGTGTAGTGTATAGTGTAGTGTATAGTGTAGTGTATAGTGTAGTGTATAGTGTAGTGTATAGTGTAGTGTATAGTGTAGTGTATAGTGTAGTGTATAGTGTAGTGTATAGTGTAGTGTATAGTGTAGTGTATAGTGTAGTGTATAGTGTAGTGTATAGTGTAGTGTATAGTGTAGTGTATAGTGTAGTGTATAGTGTAGTGTATAGTGTAGTGTATAGTGTAGTGTATAGTGTAGTGTATAGTGTAGTGTATAGTGTAGTGTATAGTGTAGTGTATAGTGTAGTGTATAGTGTAGTGTATAGTGTAGTGTATAGTGTAGTGTAGATAGCATCTGAGAGCGTGCGATGCCGTCACCGCATTTGTTCGATCGCTGAGCCAAAAGCCGCCGCCGCCGCCGCTGCTGCGAGGATGGTCTTAGGGTATCAATGCCACGGTCATTATGAGCCGAGCCCCCCCCCCACCTCCCCCAGTGATTATCCCGGCCGTGATAATTAATCAATCGCGCTCACGGCAGCGGAGTTCCGCGCCATCTGCTCTCGCTTAATCAGCTCTGGCAGGGTTAACGACACGGGCTGATAATGAGACGATTTGACGGATTGCCCCGGCCATTAACCACCCACGCCCCCTGCCCCCCCCCCCCCCCGGGCCACGTTAATGCTCCCCCCCCCCTCGTTATTGGTGACCGCGATCGCCGCTCACCGGTCGCGCGGACGGACCGGCGCCCGCCCTGGTAATGTGGAATTCCCCCCCCCCCCCGGGGAGCCGATTACGTCTCACGGATTGGTTGAAGTCGACTGCGTGGATTCTGAGGGCCTGCCTTCGACTAGGCCCGCTCGATTCTCACCCCGAGACGTCGCCGCCCCTCTCACAGTGGCCTTCACTCTCTCAGTGGCCTTCACTCTCTCCCAGTGGCCTTCACTCACACCCAGTGGCCTCTCTCCCAGTGGCCTTCACTCTCCCAGTGGCCTTCACTCTCTCTCAGGGCCTCTCTCTCACTCCCAGTGGCCTTCACTCACACCCAGTGGCCTTCACTCACTCAGTGGGCTTCACTCTCTCAGTGGCCTTCACTCTCAGGGCCCCTATCCCAGTGGGCTTCACTCTCCCAGTGGCCTTCACTCTCTCAGTGGCCTTCACTCCCAGTGGCCTTCACTCTCAGGGCCCCTATCCCAGTGGCCTTCACTCACTCTCAGTGGCCTTCACTCTCTCAGGGCCCCTCTCACAGTGGCCTTCACTCCCAGTGGCCTTCACTCCCAGTGGCCTTCACTCACTCAGTGGCCTTCACTCCCAGTGGCCTTCACTCTCAGTGGCCTTCACTCACTCAGTGGCCTTCACTCCCAGTGGCCTTCACTTTCAGTGGCCTTCACTCACTCAGTGGCCTTCACTCCCAGTGGCCTTCACTCTCAGTGGCCTTCACTCACTCAGTGGCCTTCACTCCCAGTGGCCTTCACTCTCAGTGGCCTTCACTCACTCAGTGGCCTTCACTCACTCAGTGGCCTTCACTCTCACTCTCTCAGTGGCCTTCACTCTCTCTCAGGGCCCCTCTCTCAGTGGCCTTCACTCTCAGGGCCTCTCTCCCAGTGGCCTTCACTCTCTCTCAGGGCCTCTCTCTCACTCCCAGTGGCCTCTCTCTCACTCCCAGTGGCCTTCACTCATTCCCAGTGGCTTTCACTCACTCAGTGGCCTTCACTCTCTCTCAGGGCCTTCACTCTCTCCCAGTGGCCTTCACTCTCAGGGCCCCTTTCTCAGTGGCCTTCACTCTCTCTCAGGGCCCCTCTCTCAGTGGCCTTCACTCTCTCTCAGGGCCTCTCTCCCAGTGGCCTTCACTCACTCTCAGGACCTCTCTCTCACAGTGGCCTTCACTCACTCTCAGGGCCCCTCTCTCAGTGGCCTTCACTCTCTCTCAGGGCCTCTCTCTCAGTGGCCTTCACTCACTCACAGTGGCCTTCACTCTCTCTCAGGGCCCCTCTCTCAGTGGCCTTCACTCTCAGGGGACGGGGGGAGAAGCCATCGCTGTGAGGGCCGCCACGCCGCTTGAAACCGTTGGGGGATTAAAAGCAGCAGCCACCACCAGTAGCCACTCCCTGAAGCCACTCCCAGCAGCCACCCCCTGAAGCCACTCCCTGAAGCCACCCCCTGAAGCCACCCCCAGAAGCCACCCCCAGTAGCCACTCCCTGAAGCCACTCCCAGAAGCCACCCCCTGAAGCCACTCCCTGAAGCCACCCCCTGAAGCCACCCCCAGAAGCCACCCCCAGTAGCCACTCCCTGAAGCCACTCCCTGAAGCCACCCCCTGAAGCCACTCCCTGAAGCCACCCCCTGAAGCCACCCCCAGAAGCCACCCCCAGTAGCCACTCCCTGAAGCCACTCCCTGAAGCCACCCCCAGAAGCCACCCCCAGTAGCCACCCCCAGTAGCCACCCCCAGTAGCCACTCCCTGAAGCCACTCCCTGAAGCCACCCCCAGTAGCCACCCCCAGTAGCCACCCCCAGTAGCCACCCCCAGTAGCCACTCCCTGAAGCCACCCCCTGCACGACACGCCACCAGTGGCCCGCGAGCATTGCAATGAAGAACGCTGCCCGAGCCAGAACCCCTAGACCTGTAGCCTGAACCCCTAGACCTGTAGCCTCAACCCCTAGACCTGTAGCCTGAACCCCTAGACCTGTAGCCTGAAGCCCTAGACCTGTAGCCTGAACCCCTAGACCTGTAGCCTGAACCCCTAGACCTGTAGCCTGAACCCCTAGACCTGTAGCCTGAACCCCTAGACCTGTAGCGTGAACCCCTAGACCTGTAGCCTGAACCCCTAGACCTGTAGCCTGAACCCCTAGACCTGTAGCCTGAACCCCTAGACCTGTAGCCTGAACCCCTAGACCTGTAGCCTGAACCCCTAGACCTGTAGCCTGAACCCCTAGACCTGTAGCGTGAACCCCTAGACCTGTAGCCTGAACCCCTAGACCTGTAGCCTGAACCCCTAGACCTGTAGCCTGAACCCCTAGACCTGTAGCCTGAACCCCTAGACCTGTAGCCTGAACCCCTAGACCTGTAGCGTGAACCCCTAGACCTGTAGCCTGAACCCCTAGACCTGTAGCCTGAACCCCTAGACCTGTAGCCTGAACCCCTAGACCTGTAGCCTGAACCCCTAGACCTGTAGCCTGAACCTCTAGACCTCAAGCCTGAACCCCTAGACCTGTAGCCTGAGCCCCTAGACCTGTAGCCTGAACCCCTAGACCTGTAGCCTGAACCCCTAGACCTGTAGCCTGAACTCCTAGACCTGTAGCCTGAACCTCTAGACCTGTAGCCTGAACCCCTAGACCTGTAGCCTGAACCCCTAGACCTGTAGCCTGAACCCCTAGACCTCAAGCCTGAACCCCTAGACCTGTAGCCTGAACCCCTAGACCTCTATCCTGAACCCCTAGACCTGTAGCCTGAACCCCTAGACCTGTAGCCTGAACCCCTAGACCTGTAGCCTGAACCCCTAGACCTCAAGCCTGAACCCCTAGACCTGTAGCCTGAACCCCTAGACCTGTAGCCTGAGCCCCTAGACCTGCGCTAACTACTATACCTAACCCTACCCCTAACCCCTATACATACCCCGTAACCCCCGACTCTAATCTTGACCCTTAGGGGCCGTCCATAAATGACGTCACGTGATTTTGGACGATTTTTTACCCCTCCCCCCTCGTCACACATCGTCACAAATGTCTGACCCCCCCCCCCCCCAGGTGCGTGACGTCATTTATGGACGTCCCCTAACTCCCAATTCGGAGATGTACTTCTAACCTTTGTGAAGGCCTCCCCACACTGTGGTGGCTTCTTTGACCATACTTCACCACTCCTGTCACCACCCCATCTCCCGGCGTAGGTGGACGTGGGCGAGCGCGTGCTGAAGCTGAACACCGAGGTGCGGGAGCTGGGCCCGCTGTCCGGGCCGCGCGTCCTGGTGGCCCTGCAGGACGTCGGGGCCTGTGTGGCCCTCCTGTCACTCCGCCTCTTCTACAAGCGCTGCCCGGCGACGCGGCGCGGCCTCACGCGCTTCCCGCAGACGGTGGCCGGGGCCGACGCCTCGTCGCTCGTGGAGGTGGGTGGCGGCGGTGGGGAGGGCTGGGCATGGTGCGAGAGAAGTTCAACACGCACGTACGAGAGATGTGAGAGAGGAGGGGGCGCCACGGTGGCTATGAGATGTTAACTGCCTCGCCTGGTACACAGGAGGTCGTGGGCTCGATCCTGACCCTGACGCCTGCTGCTGTGTAGTTGGAGTGAGGCGTCCCTTTCTCTCCCTCTCTCTCTCCTCCCCGTGGTCCCGTGCTATAAATCTCCACGTGATAAGCGACTTCATTCAGCTATCATTTGTGGGCAGGTCGCTTCTGAAAAGAGCTACGTAGCTCAGTGGGCCATACCTGGTAGAATAAACAAAAATAGTCATAATAGCCTAAGTACGGTGCGAAATAAGTTAATCACACACACTTATGAGAGATGTGGGGCATGTGAGACAGAGAGACTGGGAATGATGAGAAGGTGAACACGTGGGGGGTGCCGTCCACGCTGGTTCAGAGAGGGGCTTGTCCGGCTCCCCAGCGTTCTAAGTAGACGCGCTGCACATCACCGGCACGTGTGTGTGGTACGTGGCGTGCTCCAGCCGGAGCCGCGCCTTGAGCAGGCCCCTGAACACCGGAAGCAGCACAGAGCAGCCGTCAGTGTCGCCTTGCAGCGTCTTTCTCCTCGTTCTGTACACCGCCAACTTCGCCTGAGCACAGGCGAAGTTGGCGAGGTCATGACGCTTGTTAGCCAGGTAAGGCAACCTCCATATACGAAGCTGCTGTTGTAGAAGGGTACCCCCAGTTTCCTGAAGATGTCCCCCAAGAAGCGGAACATTGGTTTGAGCTGCTGGCAGCGTAAGTACCGGTGGCACAGATCCTCCCTGGCACCGCAGGAGATGCACCAAGTCTGGTACCCCCGGCGAGATTCGGCTGAGCCACACGGCCGAATCGATTCATTTGTTTCCACTGAGGGGCGGCCGCAATGAGGGGAGAGAAATGGTCTCTCCATTTTGTATCCGGTAGGTCGGCCAGGTCCCGGGAATGCAGCGCCTTGACACAGAGAGACAGACTGAGAGAGAGACAGAGAGAGCTGAGAGACTGAGAGAGAGCTGAGAGACTGAGAGAGAGCTGAGAGACAGAGACAGAGAGAGCTGAGAGACTGAGAGAGAGCTGAGAGACAGAGACAGACAGAGAGAGACAGATAGACAGACTGAGAGAGAGACAGAGAGAGCTGAGAGACAGAGATAGACAGACAGAGAGAGACAGACAGAGAGAGACAGAGAGCTGAGAGACAGAGAGAGAGCTGAGAGACAGAGAGTGAGACAGACAGACAGAGACAGAGAGACAGATAGACAGACTGAGAGAGAGACAGAGAGAGCTGTCAGACAGAGACAGACAGACAGACAGAGACAGACAGAGAGACAGATAGACAGACTGAGAGAGAGACAGAGAGAGCTGAGAGACAGAGACACAGACAGACAGAGACAAAGAGAGAGAGAGACAGAGAGACAGAGACAGACAGAGAGCTGAGAGACAGAGAGAGAGCTGAGAGTCAGAGAGTGAGACAGACTATGTCTGTGTCACGATTATTCTGAACCGGTCCTGGGCCTCCCCTAGGTCGCCTCAACTGAGTAGCCGGTGCGGTGTGTAGTAAACATCGCCACCGGGGAGACAAAGGCGGCCGGGCGTGGTGCTGGCCACCCACCCCCTCGTGTGCCGTTCCGGCCTTCATGAGGTGCTGCCCGCTAACAGCACTTGCCCCACAGTCTGCCGAGGCTACACGGGGGATCTTTGTCTTTGTCGACAGGTGCAGGGGCAGTGCGCCCCCAACGCAGGACCCCTGCCCCAAGGGGCCCCCCAGAACCTCCGCGCGGCACTCCGTCCGGCCCCCCTCTCGAACGCGGCGAGGCCCGAAAGCCTCCCCCCCTCCTCCCCCTCCTCGCCGGGGGGAGGGGAGACAAAGGCGGCCGTGACGGGGGGCGCGCCGGCGCCTCTGCCCCCGCCGCCGCGGATGTTCTGCAGCGCGGACGGCGAGTGGCTGGTGCCGATCGGCAGCTGCGGGTGCCGGCCCGGCTACCAGGAGGTGGAGGGGGACGACGAGGAGGAGGAGGAGGTGGAGGGGGTGGTGGGGAGGGGGGGGGGAGGAGGAGGAGGGGGGGGGGAACGAGGGGACGGTGAGCGGGGAACGGGAGGAGGCGCGGAGGTGACGTGCAGAGGTTAGTGGAGTGTGTGTACGTATGTGTGTTGTGTACGTGTGTACGTACGTGTGTACGTGTGTGTGTGTGTACGTGTGTACGTGTACGTGTGTACGTGGGTGTGTGTGCGGTGACGGACGGGCAACTCTGTCGTGGACAGTGCTGTGGGGGGAGGAGCCAATCCGATTGGCTCCTCCCCTCATGGCGTCTGTGACCACCACAGTGGCTAAACGAGGGCTCTGGACGGGTGCGAGGGGCTGGTAACCCCTCCACCTTCAAAAATTTACCTCTAAACCACGACTGAAATATGTAACTAATAAGCTTGTGCTGGAGGCCCCGGGGGGACAGGCGTCTATGACGTATCCTGGCCAAACCCCAATTGGCGGAGCCAAGAGATTGAATCTCTACCCTCGGGGCTCTTCCAGAAACAACGAAAAGCCACTTCGTGTGGCCACGTGGAATGTTCGAACGCTCACTGCGGAGGAGAGGCTGCCACTCCTCTGTCAGGAGCTGGACCGGTACCGCCTGGATCTCTGTGGCATTCAGGAGGTCCGGTGGACCGGTTCTGGCTCCTGCCACCATGAGGGGTGGACAGTCCTCTACTCGGGGCAGCAGACTGCCAAACAACAGGGCATGACTCTTCTTATGAACAAAAGAATGAAGGGGGCATGGGAGCGTGGCGGTGAGGTGTGGGAAGCTGTAAGCCCCAGGCTACGTTGGGCTCGCCTTCCCATCAACCGGAGGCGAGGAGTGGTGGTCGTGGTTACTTATGCCCCCACCGAAGACGAACATCCATGGAGGGATGCAGGCAAAGCCGATGAGTCAGATGCCTTCTATGACCTCCTGTCACAGGTGCTGGCGAAAGTGGCCCCTCGGGATAGAGTCATCTTGTTGGGTGACTTCAATGCCCGAGTGGGTCATGATGCTGGCACCTGGTCTGGAGTTATTGGAGGGCATGGGCCAGATCAGCTCAATAACAATGGTAGGAGGCTGCTAGATTTTTGTCCAGCGCATGGGCTTGTAATTACCAATACGCTGTTCCGGCATCGGCGCATCCACACAACATCATGGATGCATGCCTTGTCCAAGCAAGAACATCTGCTGGACTACATAGTGACGGACCACCGGATGCGAGCCCATGTCCTTGACACCAGGACCTACCGTGGAGCTGATCTGCCCTCTGACCATCGACTTGTCATCTGTAAGATACGCCTGCCATTCTTCCGCTCCGGTGGTGGGTGTACACTCAGGACCCCATTCCAACCTAAAGTGGCCTGGTCTCAGTTATCTGATGAAAGTTGCAAGCGAGAATTTCAACATCGCCTGCGGCTGGGGTTGGCATCGTCCCCCACTCCTCCTGATGTCGAGGGTAAATGGGCGAGGTTTAGGATTCTCACTCATGCAGCTGCATTGGCTGCTTTGGGTACGCGGTCCAGACCTCCCCAGAGACCCTGGCTGACAGAGGAGGTGTTCAGGATAGTTGAGAAAAAGCGACAGGCCCACTGTCATCGGCTACAGAATCCCACGTCAGAGAATGAGGAGGCTTACCGCAGCCTTCGCTCGGAGGTTTGGAGAGCCGTGAGGCGCTGCAAGCATGGGTGGTGGTCGCGGGTTGCTGAGGAGATGGAGTCTGCCTCAATGGCCCGCGATCTTAAATCTCTATTTAACTCCATCAAAAAAGTAATCTGCAGCGCCACACCTATTACCATCATTAGGGGAAAAAACAGTGATCCAATCTCCGACCCCCAGGAACAGGTTTGCAGATTTGCTGAGCATTTCTGTGAGGTCCTGGGGGAGGGAAAATCCCTCAGCTAGGAAAACATCGTGGCACAAAGTGAGGATGACCCTGCTGAAGTGCGTGGCTGGCTGAAGTGCCATCTGTTGAGGAAGTGCTGAAGGTGATCCGGAGTCTGAGACCAGGAAAGGCAGCGGGCAGAGATGATCTCCCAAGCAAAATGCTGAGGGAGGGTGGCGTTTGTGCACAGACTGCCCTATATGGATTGGAAGGATGCCCTGGTGGTCCCCCTCTTTAACAAGGGGGACCGCACAGACTGTAACAACTACAGGGGCATCTCACTCCTCAGTGTGCCAGGAAAGGTCCTGGCAAGGATTATTCAACATCGCCTTGCCAGGCACGCTGAGAAGAGGCTTGCGGAGCCCCAATGCGGTTTCAGGAAAGGGTGGTCCTGCACAGATGCCATATTTTCTGTCCATCTGCTACAGCAGAGGTGTAGGGAATTCCAGCAAGACCTACTTCTCTGCTTTATTGACCTGTTCAAGGCCTATGATCCCATCAGTAGACCTGGGCTCTGGGTTGTTCTTCGTGCTTTTGGAGTACCTGACCCTCTGCTCACGATCATTAAGAACCTTCATGATGGTGAGCGGGCCTGGGTAAAACGTGGCCGGGAGTCAGAGCCATTCCCTGTTAACCTTGGGGTGCGACAGGGATGTCCTCTGGCTCCCACATTATTTAACATCTATTTTGACCACGTAGTTCGTGAAGCCTTCAATAGCTGTACCGAGGGAATCTCCATATGGTACAGATATAATGGGAGGCTGATCGATGCCCGGGAGCGGTCAAGGGATGGCTCCCTATTGCTCAACCACGTTATGTATGCCGATGATTTGGTAATAGATGCTCATTCAGAGGAGGAGTTGGAGACGCTGCTGCTGAGACTGGAGCAGGCCACTAAGAGATGGGGCCTTATCATCATCCCCACCAAAACTAAGCACCTGCCTGGGTATTTTGTACCATCGGACACTCCAACTCCACAACTCCCAATCGGTGATGGGGCAGTTGTGGAGAGGGTGGAGAGTTTCCCATACCTGGGCAGTGTGCTTATGACCGGCTCCAGTTTAACAGCAGAGGTCTCACTCCGAATCAGTCAAGCAGCAATATCTTTTCATCGGTTGCGTAACGCTGTGTGGAAGCTACCTGGTCTGTCGCTCCGCACTAAGCTTCAGGTCTTCTCGGCCACAGTCATTCCCTCCCTTCTCTACGCTTGCGAAACGTGGACCCCCTTAATGGAACATCTTCACCGGTTAGAAACATTTAGGCTAGCCTGCCTACGATTCATCCTGGGTTTAACCAGGCTGGATTGTGTGAGGAGCTCACAAATCCTTGAAAGATCTGGGCAAGGTCCCATCGGTGAGCTCCTCCGGCAGGCAAGGCTGCGTTGGCTGGGTCATGTAGCCCGCATGCCCAGCCACCGCATGCCGAAACAGCTTTTGTTCGGCCGGATCGAGGGGGCTAAACGGGCGCGGCACGAGCTAGAGAAGAGATGGAGTGATGTGGTACAGGAGGACGTAGAGCTCAGTGGACTTGCCGATGACTGGTACCAGCGGTGTCAGGATCGGCCTTTGTGCAGGAGGCTCGTGAAGGACGCTACTGGGCAGTTGGAGGCAGCCGCCCTCCAACAACAACGGAGGGCGGAGGAGCGACGCTCACAACGAGTGGAGCGCCGGGTGGCTAAAGCACAGCAGTTTGGCACAGTAGGGGGCACAGGTGGTGCATCAGCCAGTCATCTCAGTCAGTCGACCCGTGGCACCTGGGTCTGCCCCGTGACCTCCTGCCAGCGGGCGTTCGACACTTCACGTGGCCTCAAGGTGCACATGGCCTGGCACAAGCGTCGTGGTGACGTCACCGCCACTTAGTGGCGAATGGCGGTTGTTGTTGTGTACGTGTGTGTGTGTACGTGGGTGTGTGTACGTGTGTATGTACGCGTGTGTGTGTGAGGAGCGGTAGTGTAGTGGTTAGCCCGTTGCGCTACAAACCCGGCGACCCGAGTTGGAGTCCCGCTCACGGTCAACATCGGTGACGATTATCTGAACCGGTCCTGGGCCTCCCCTCGGTCGACTCAGCCTCAAATGAGAACCAGGTGCGGTGTGTAGTAAACATCGCTACTGGGGAGACAAAGGTGGCCGGGCGTGGTGTTGGCCACCCACCCCCTCGTGTGCCGTGCCGGCTTTCATAGGTGCTCGCAAACAGCACTTGCCCCTACAGCCTGTTAAGGCTACACGTCTCCTAGCCACCGTGACGATGATGGTGATGATGAGATTGGGAGGTGCAAACTCCAAATATAAAACGGCAGTCAGGCTCGGGATTGAGCCCACAACCCCTGCATACCAGGCGAGGTAGTTGACATCTCCTATCCACTCTCGTGTAGCGTGCAGGCCAGGCTTCTACAGCTCTGGGGGGCCCGGGGGAGACGGGGGGCGAGCGGGTTGCCTGCGCTGCCCCCCAATGAGCCACTCGGCGCAGCAGGGGGCCAGCTTGTGTGAGTGCAGCGCAGGGTTCCACAGAGCCCCCCACGAAGCGGCTTCCACGCCGTGCACACGTACGTACGCACACGCACACACACGTACGTACGCACACACACGTACGTACGCACACACACACACGTACACGCACACACACACACGTACACGCACACACACACACGTACACACACACGCACACGTACGTACACGCACACGCACACACACGTACGTACGCACATACACACACGTACGTACGCACACACGCACGTATGCACACACACACGTACATACGCACACGCACACACACGTGCGCACACGCACACACACACGTACGTACGCACACACACGTACGTATGCACACACACACACGTACACGCGCACGCACGTACGTACGTACATACATACACAGAAATGTACACGTACACACGGCCGTACACGCGTTGATACACGCACATTTAGACATGTACGCACGCATACACGCATGCGTACATACACACGTACACAGATACACACATATACATGTATGCACGCACGCACACAGATACACACGTACACACGTACATACACACGTACACACAGATATACACGCGCGTACACACGTACGTACACACGTACGTACACACGTACGTACAGATATACACACGCGTAGACACGTACACACACGTACGCACCCACAGATACACACATACGCACACGTAGACACGTACACACGTACGTACACACCCATACACACGTGCCCACGTCTCTCTCCGTGTCCATGGCCCCTATCCCCGCGTGTCTCTGTGTGTCTCTGTGTCTCTGTGTGTCTCTGTGTGTCTCTGTGTCTCTGTGTGTCTCTGTGTCTCTCCCGCGTGTCCCTCTGCCCCCCCCCCAGGCCCCCCGTCGGCTCCCCGTGACCTCGTGTCGCGGGTCAACGGGACGTCCGTGTGGCTGTCGTGGTCGCCCCCCGCCGACCTGGGGGGTCGCTCTGACCTCTCCTACTCGCTGGAGTGCCTTCGCTGTGGCACTCCACCTCCTCCTCCTGCCCCTCAGCAACAGCTCCTCACACTCGGATTCCCGCAGAATTCCCGGCAGCAGCAGCAGCAGCAGCCTCTCCGGGTCTCTCCGGAAAACTGGAACACCAGCGCCGGTGGCGGCGGCGGCGTCATTCGGGATTCCTTGGGACTCAGGATCCGGAACCGCCTCCTCCCGGCACGGTTCCGTGCCCAGGATCCTGTCGGAGTTTTCCCGGAATTCCGGGCGGGCGTCTCGGAGTCGGAGCGCCGCGATCCGAGATGGAACCCGCGGCGTCGCGATCCTCCTCCTCCTCCGCCTCCTCCTCCGTCGAGACGACGTTCCCAGGGCCCCGAAGCTCGCCTCCCGTCGGCGCTATCCCCACGCTTCCCGGAGCGCCGCCTCGCCGAGGAGGCGGGGAGAGAGCGGCGCTCCGCCCTCCCGCGGTCGGAGCGCCGCTCCGTCCGCTCGGCGTCGAGGCCGCGCGGCGGCGCCGGGGGGCGCGGCCCCCGGGGGACTCCGGCCGAGCTTCCCGGCGCTCCCGGCGCTCCCGGCGCTCCCGGCGGGGACGGCGGCTGCGTGCCGTGCGGGTCGCCCGATCCGGTTTTCGAGCCGGCCCGGGAGGGCCTCGTCCGGGCCGAGGCGGCCGTGCGGGGCCTGGCGCCGCACACGGGCTACACGCTGCGCGTGCGCGCCGCCAACGGCGTCTCGGGCGCCGCCGCCGCTGGGCCCTTCGTGTCGGTCAGCGTCACCACCAACCAGGCCGGTGGGCTGCACCGCTGTCTCTCTGATGCCGACGCTGCTGACACTGCTGCTGCTACTGACACTACTACTACTGCTGACACTACTACTGGTACTGCTACTGCTGCTGACACTGCTACTACTGCTGACACTACTACTGGTACTGCTGACACTACTACTACTGCTGACACTACTACTGCTACTGCTGACACTACTACTGCTGCTGACACTACTACTACTACTGCTGACACTACTACTGCTACTGCTGACACTACTACTGCTGCTGACACTACTACTACTACTGCTGACACTACTACTGCTACTGCTGACACTACTACTGCTGCTGACACTACTACTACTACTGCTGACACTACTACTGGTACTGCTGCTGCTGCTGACACTACTGCTGCTGCTGACACTACTGCTGCTACTGTTGACACTACTACTGGTACTGCTGCTGCTGACACTACTGCTGCTGCTGACACTACTGCTGCTACTGCTGACACTACTACTGCTACTGCTGCTGCTGACACTACTGCTGCTGACACTGCTGCTGCTACTGCTGCTGCTGACACTACTACTGCTGCTGACACTACTGCTACTGACACTACTACTACTGCTGACACTACTACTACTGCTGCTGACACTACTGCTGCTGACACTACTACTACTACTGCTGACACTACTACTACTGCTGCTGACACTACTACTACTGCTGCTGACACTACTACTACTGCTGCTGACACTACTACTGCTGCTGACACTACTACTGCTACTGCTGACACTACTACTGCTGCTGACACTACTGCTGCTACTGCTGACACTACTACTGGTACTGCTGCTGCTGCTGACACTACTGCTGCTACTGACACTACTGCTGCTGACACTACTACTACTACTGCTGACACTACTACTGGTACTGCTGCTGCTGACACTACTGCTGCTGCTGACACTACTGCTGCTACTGCTGACACTACTACTACTACTGCTGACACTACTACTGGTACTGCTGCTGCTGACACTACTGCTGCTGCTGACACTACTGCTGCTACTGCTGACACTACTACTGCTACTGCTGCTGCTGACACTGCTGCTGCTGACACTACTACTACTACTGCTGACACTACTACTGGTACTGCTGCTGCTGACACTACTGCTGCTGCTGACACTACTGCTGCTACTGCTGACACTACTACTGCTACTGCTGCTGCTGACACTGCTGCTGCTGACACTACTACTACTACTGCTGACACTACTACTACTGCTGCTGACACTACTACTACTACTGCTGACACTACTACTGGTACTGCTGCTGCTGACACTACTGCTGCTGCTGACACTACTGCTGCTACTGCTGACACTACTACTGCTACTGCTGCTGCTGACACTACTGCTGCTGACACTACTGCTGCTACTGCTGCTGCTGACACTACTACTGCTGCTGACACTACTACTACTACTGCTGACACTACTACTGCTGCTGCTGACACTACTGCTGCTGACACTACTGCTGCTACTGCTGCTGCTGACACTACTACTGCTGCTGACACTACTACTACTACTGCTGACACTACTACTGCTGCTGACACTACTACTGCTGCTGCTGACACTACTACTGCTGCTGACACTACTACTACTACTGCTGACACTACTACTGCTGCTGACACTACTACTACTGCTGCTGCTGCTGACACTACTGCTGCTACTGCTGCCACTACTACTACTGCTGACACTACTGCTGCTGCTGACACTACTGCTGACACTACTGCTGCTGCTGACACTACTGCTGCTGCTGACACTACTGCTGCTGCTGCTACTACTACTACTGCTGACACTACTGCTGCTGCTACTGCTGCGTGAGTCACTACTGCTACTACTGCTATTGCTACTACTACTGCTGCTACTGCTGCTACTGCTACTGCTACTCCTGCTACTACTACTACTGCTGCTACTACTGCTGCTGCTACTACTACTGCTGTGTGAGTCACTACTGCTACTACTGCTGCGTGAGTCACTACTATTGCTGCTACTGCTGCTACTGCTGCGTGAGTCACTACTACTGCTGCTGCTACTACTACTGCTACTACTACTGCTGCTACTGCTGCGTGAGTCACTACTACTACTGCTGCTACTACTGCTGCTACTGCTACTACTACTGCTGCTACTGCTGCTACTACTGCTGCTACTAGTACTGCTGCTACTGCTGCTGCTACTGCTGCTGCTACTGCTGCATGAGTCGCTACTACTACTGCTGCTACTGCTACTGCTGCTGCTACTGCTACTGCTGCTACTACTGCTACTACTGCTGCGTGAGTCACTACTGCTGCTACTACTGCTACTACTACTGCTGCTGCCACTGCTGCATGAGTCACTACTGCTACTACTACTGCTGCTACTGCTGCTGCTACTGCTGCTACTACTACTGCTGCTACTACTGCTGCTACTGCTACTACTACTGCTGCGTGAGTCACTACTATTGCTGCTACTGCTGCTGCTACTGCTGCGTGAGTCACTACTACTGCTGCTGCTACTACTACTGCTACTACTGCTACTACTGCTACTGCTGCTACTGCTGCGTGAGTCACTACTACTGCTGCTACTACTGCTGCTACTGCTGCTACTGCTGCTACTGCTGCTCCTACTACTGCTACTACTACTGCTGCTACTGCTGCTGCTACTGCTACTGCTGCTACTACTACTGCTGCTGCTACTGCTGCGTGAGTCACTACTACTGCTCCTGCTACTGCTGCGTGAGTCACTACTAGTACTGCTGCGTGAGTCACTACTACTGCTACTACTACTGCTGCTACTACTACTACTGCTGCGTGAGTCACTACTACTGCTACTACTACTGCTGCTACTACTACTGCTGCGTGAGTCACTACTACTACTACTGCTGCGTGAGTCACTACTACTGCTACTACTGCTGCTACTACTACTACTACTGCTGCGTGAGTCACTACTGCTGCTGCTACTGCTGCGTGAGTCACTGCTACTACTGCTGCTACTACTGCTGCTACTGCTGCTGCTACTGCTGCTTGAGTCACTACTGCTGCTGCTGCTACTGCTGCGTGAGTCACTGCTACTACTGCTGCTGCTACTGCTGCTTGAGTCACGCTCCGCGCCGTCCGTGTTCTCCCAGCACCGTCGCGCGTCCCCTCGGTGCGCAAGGAGTCCAGCAGCAAGGACTCGATCGGAGTCTCGTGGGAGCCGCCGCTCCACCCCAACGGACTCATCCTGGACTACGAGCTCGCCGTCTCTGAGAAGGTACCACAGCCACGGGGGCGGGGGGGGGCGTGGTGGTGGTGGCGGCGGTGGGGTTGGTTGTGGTAATGGTGGTGGTGGTGGTGATGGTAATGGTGTGGTTGGTGGTGATGTTGGTGGTCGTGGTGATGGTGGTGGCAGCAGTGTTGGTGGCGGTGGTGATGGTGGCAGTGGTGGTGGCGGCGGTGGCGGTGGTGGTGGCGATGGTGGCGGTGGTGGTGGTGGTGGTGGTGGCGGCGGTGGTGGTGGTGGTGGTGGCAGTGGCCGTGGTGGTGGCGGTGATGGTGGCGGTGGTGGCGATGGTGGCGGTGGTGGTGGTGGCGGTGGTGGTGGTAGCGGTGGTGGCGGTGGCGGCGATGGTGGTGGTGGTGGTGCTGGCGATGGTGGTGGCAGTGGCCGTGGTGGTGGCGGTGATGGTAGTGGTGGTGGCGGCGGTGGTGGCGGCGATGGTGGCGGCGGTGGTGGTGGCGGTGGCAGTGTTGGCGGTGGTGGTGGCGGCGATGGTGGCGGTGGCGGTGGCGGTAGCGGTGGCGGTGGCGGCGGCGGCGTTCCGAACGACCACCCAGCCGCAGTGCCGTTGTGCCAGCTTGCTCGGCAAGGCCCCGGCGCATTCAGGAGAAGCCTTCGCCAGAGGGCCCACGCCTCACCCCCGCCACCTCCGACGTGCCGTGCAGGGCCGGCCCAACGTGACGGTGATGTCCGTGCCGGTAGCCCGCGCCGTGGTCAGGGGCCTGCGTGCCGGGCGGCGCTACGAGATCTCGGTGAGGGCCCGCACCGTGGCCGGCTTCGGGGCCTTCAGCCTCCCCGTCGAGTTCACCACGGCCCCTGGTGGCGGTACGTCACGGGACGGGGGGGCTCTCCCGGATCAAGCGGTTCGCCGCGGTCCCTCGCGGCTCCCCTATGATGTCTCTGTGTGTGTGACTGTGTGGATGTCTGTGTGTTCGTATGTCTACATGTATGTGTCTCTGTACATGGGTCTGTCTGTATGTGTGTGTGTGTTTGTATGTCTACATGTATGTGTGTGTGTGTCTACATGTATGTCTGTACATGGGTCTGTCTGCCTGTATGTGTGTGTGTATGTCTACATGTATGTGTGTCTACATGTATGTGTCTGTGTTTTTGTGTCTGTGTGTGTCAGTGTGTATCTGTATGACTGTCTGTATGTGTGTCTGTCTGTACGTGTGTTTTGTACGTGTGTCTGTCTGTGTGTTGGTATGTGTGTGTCTGTGTGTTTGTGTGTGTCTGTGTGTTTGTATGTGTGTGTCTGTCTGTCTGGGGCCTTACCATCAGCCCCACCAAAACTAAGCACCTGCCTGGGTATTTTGTACCATCGGACACTCCCCACACCTCCCAATCGGTGATGGGGCAGTTGTGGAGAGAGTGGAGAGTTTCCCATACCTGAGCAGTGTGCTTATAACCGGCTCCGGTTTGACAGCAGAGGTCTCGCTACGAATCAGTCGAGCGGCATTATCTTTTCATCAGTTGCGTAACGCTGTGTGGAAGCTACCTGGTCTGTCGCTCCGCACTAAGCTTCAGGTCTTCTCGGCCACGGTCATTCCCTCCCTTCTCTACGCTTGCGAAACGTGGACCCCCCTGGTGGAACATCTTCGCCGGTTAGAAACATTTAGGCTGGCCTGCCTACGATCCATCCTGGGTTTAACCAGACTGGATTGTGTGAGGAGCTCACAAATCCTTGAAAGATCTGGGCAGGGTCCCATCGGTGAGCTCCTCCAGCAGGCAAGGCTGCGATGGCTGGGTCATGTAGCCCGCATGCCCAGCCACCGCATGCCGAAACAGCTTTTGTTTGGCCGGATTGAGGGGGCTAAGCGGGCGCGGCACGGGCTAGAGAAGAGATGGAGTGATGTGGTACAGGAGGACGTGGAGCTGAGTGGACTTGCCGATGACTGGTACCAGCGGTGTCAAGATCGGCCTCTGTGGAGGAGGCTCGTGAAGGATGCTACTGGGCAGTTGGAGGCAGTCGCCCTCCAACAACAACGGAGGGCGGAGGAGCGACGATCACAACAACGAGCGGAACGCCGGGTGGCTAAAGCACAGCAGGTTGGCACAGTAGGGGGCACAGGTGGTGCATCAGCCAGTCATCTCAGTCAGTCGACCCGTGGCACCTGGGTCTGCCCAGTGACCTCCTGCCAGCGGGCGTTCGACACTTCACGTGGCCTCACGGTGCACATAGCCTGGCACAAGCGTCGTGGTGACGTCACCGCCACTTAGTGGCGAATGGCGGTTGTTGTTGTGTGTCTGTGTGTGTGTGTGTGTCTGTGTGTGTCTGTGTGTGTGTGTCTGTGTGTGTGTATGATTCTGTGTGTCTGTGTGTGTGTGTCTGTGTGTGTGTGTCTGTGTGTGTGTATGATTCTGTGTGTGTGTGTGTCTGTGTGTGTGTGTGTATGATTCTGTGTGTGTGTGTGTCTGTGTGTGTGTCTGTGTGTGTGTGTGTGTCTGTGTGTGTCTGTGTGTGTCTGTGTGTGTGATTGTCTGTGTGTGTGTGTGTGTGTCTGTGTGTGTGTGTGTGTGTCTGTGTGTGTGTGTCTGTGTGTGTGTGTCTGTGTCTGTGTGTGTGTCTGTGTGTGTGTGTGTGTGTCCGTGTAGCCTCCCACGCCGTGGCCACTGCGGGGGGCCACGTGACGGTGGCCGGCGTGACGGTGGCCATCGTGGTGACG